ACTGGACTTTAGAAGAATGTGAAGTGATGTCATTGAAACATAGAGGATTCTCAAACGGCTTGACAGAGTAAATGCTGAGAGGATGTTTCCCCTTGTGGGGAGAACCTAGGACCAAACAGCATAGTATCTGAGTAAAGGGGCATCAATTTAAGACTGAACTGAGAAGGATTTTTTTCTCTCAGAGTGGTGAGTGTCTTTGGAACTCCTTTTCACAGAGAGCTAAGGGGAGAGAGTCCTTGTGTATATTTAAGGCTGAGATAGATTGACTCTTGATCAGTGGGGGAATCAATGATTGTGGGGAAAGGGCAGGAAAGGGGATGTGAGAAATGTCAGATCAACCATGATACAACTGAATGGTGGAGCAGGCTCGAGGGGCCAAATGGCCCAGTCCTGTTCCTATTTCTTATGGGCTTACTGTCAATTTATTGCTTTGCTAAATTCATGTTTACTGTTCTGCAAAACCTTATCTTTCCAAAATTTGCTCACGAGAGAAAGAACTTTAGTGGGTTTTCTGTGTAAAAGAGCTTGGTTAACTTTGTTGTAGAACTAACATACACCCATTTCCCATCTTTGCTGTAGCTCTGCAAGTTCACAGTCGTCAAATGCCCAACCAATTTATTTTTGTAAAGATTGATCACTCCTAATTCCAATACTCCGAGAAGCACTGGGTTCTAGGTCATCATGACAGTCCTTCCCAAGCCCCTTGCATCTTTTATATAAAACCATGTCTGTGTCAAACGGGAACAGCTTTTCTTGCTTGTTCATTAAAAATCTCCTAAATGACAAACAAGAATTGTAATAATGTGGTCTCCCTGTAATATAATAGGACTATTTACATTTTTTCTTTCAACTCAAGATTAAAATCAAATATTGTATGCATCAAACAAGGTATGAAACAATTAGAAAGTGGGTGCAATGGTGGGCTGTTTATACTGAGAGCTGCAGTTGTTGAATTACAAACTATTCTTCCAAGAGCATGTTCATATCACACAGCTTCCTCTGCTGGGAGTGCACAGCAGGAGCTTGGGCACAAAGGCCCCAGAGGAGTTACTACCTGCCAACCTGCAAAGCCTTTTGACCTCTGGTTATGAATTTCTGATTAAGTGCTCTAATGGACAGAATATACAGTGAGAATACTAAATCAGTAAAACCTACTCACTTCTGTCCACAAACCATTGATCAAGCATGAAAAATTGCATTTATTTTGTTGTCTAATACTCATCAGAATAATACTGAAAGTCATCATTAACTGCATTTTAAAGGATGGAGGATTTTGAAAACCGGTGGGTCTGAAATTAAGGAGTGATCACCTTCCAATCAATCACATACAATTACACCAAACGTGAGAAGAACAAACACATAGGTTTTCCTTGTGGGCTTTGGGACTCGGTGGTGTAGGGAACAGTTGTTCTGCCTGAATGGACTGAGGACGTGGCCTGAGGTTGAGCTCACCGTCCAGTTAAGGAGGTGAGTAGGTCTTAATGAAGGTTGAAGGACCATGAGGAAACTCTCCAACCTATGAGCAGCTTCAGGCTGTCGCTGCAGGTAAATGAGGGAAAGGATGCTCTGAGGTGGACTTCTCCAGCTTTTTTAAGTGAAGAAAATAGTCACTGCAACTGGGCCATAATCGTAGGTTGGGAGGTTTACAGACGCACAGGGCACCTGGAACCAGACAGGAAGATGTGATGTTAAACCTGGAAGAACTTGCTGAACCCTGGTCTGCCGCTGGGTGACCCATCCAAGGGCTGCAAGTTTCCCTATATCCCCAGCAAACTGGAATCAAAGTCATTATGATACAGGAGGATGCCATTGGGCCCATCGTCTCTGCACCAGTGCTAGTACCTCGTGCCAATCAAATGCCTCTTCCCCATATCCAATGGCACACTGAATGGCTCAAATGAACCCTTCACCAAATTTCCGAGCAGCAAATTCTACTCTCTCAATACGTGAAAAAGTTTTTTCTTACATCACGCTTCGTTTGCACAGCAGTTAAAAAATTCCAGTCCACTCAGACAATGGGCCTTCTAACAGGCCCCTAACTAGTTGGATTGGCCCCCACTGCTATCCTGTTCTCTGCAAAGAGAGCTTAAGAAGCAGAATGGAGAGGGGGAACTGGCCAACAATGAGACATTCCAGATCCAGCCCCATCAAGGGTTTAAAAGAAGCTTCCACTGTGAAATCTGTAGGTAGGAAAGAAATCAGATTGTAAAAATAATTCACTGTCACTTTGGAACATTTCAGCTAACAGCTTTCTTTTGATGTTTAATAAGGTTTAAAAGAAAAATCAACTGTGAGAGGAAACACAGCTTCAAACCATCATAAATAAAAGTAGCTGTGGTACGTTCTTTCAACTATATCCCACAGTCTTTTTCAGGTGGAAAGCAATTGCCTGCAAAGTGCTCCCATTTAATTCTCTTGCCCTTCAATTTTTAATGTGCACAGGATTTACAAAGTGAATCAATCATTCTTGAACTGATAAGTGACTGTAGAAATCGAGTGAAGTTTCTGCTGGAAAAAACAACTTTTTCTTTGAGACCGCAGGAGGTCAAAGAAAGTACTGTCCAAAATGCAAATTAAAAACATAACACAAAAAAATAGGAGCAGGGGAAGAGCACAGAGCTTGTCAAGTCTCCCTCACTGTTCAATATAATCATGGCTAGTCCTGGGTTTCAAGTCCACTTTCCCAGCTGCTTCCCATGTTCCAAGATTCTTGAGAAACTAAAAAGCCTGTCCATCTCAATTAGAAGTAAAGGGGGGCACTTGCCTTTATCAGTCATGGCAAAGATTATAAGTGCAGGGAAGTTATGTTGGAGCTGGAGCACTGAGTGCAAGTCGGGTCATCACACTGTCGTGATTGCACTGGATGGGGTGCAGAGGAGATTCACCAGGATGGAGCATGTTATCTATGAAGAGAAGCTCGATAAGCTTAGGTTGTTTTCTTTGGAGCAGAGAAGGCTGTTAGGGTACCTGATAGAGATGTATATATTATAAGGGGCATGACAGGGTGGATAGAAAGCAGCTGTTCCCCTTACTTGAAGGGTCAACAACAAAGGGCATGATTTTAAAGTGAAACACAGCTGGTTGAGGGGGGCTTTAAGAATTTTCTGTTCACCCAGAGGGTGGTGGGAATTTGAAACGTACTGCCTGGGAAGCAAGTGCTGCAAAGTGGGTCTAGTGCAGATTTAGAGCAGTTTTTTGTCAATGGGCTGAAGGTCCTCTTCAGTACTGAATGAGTCGGTAATTTAAATGTTTTCAAAGTTGGTGTATCTGCACCCTGGGAAAAAGTCTCTGGTTATCCACTGTATCTATACCTCTCATCGTCTTGTACAATTCTATCAAGTCACCTCTCATCCTTCTTTGCTCCAATGAGAAAAACCCTAGCTCCCTCAACCTTTCCTCATAAGAACTGCCCTCCAGTCCAGGCAACATCCTGGTAAATCTCCTCTGCACCCTCCCTAAAGCTTCCACATCCTTCCAGTAATGAGGTGACCAGAACTGGACACAATATTCCAAGTGTGGTCTAACCAGGGTTTGTAGAGCTGCAGCATAACCTCATGGCTCTTATACTCAATTCTCCTGTCAATGAAAGCCAACACACCATACGCCTTCTTAACAACCCTATCAACTTTGGTAGCAACTTGGAGGGATCTATGGACATGGACCCCAAGATCCCTCTGTTCCTCCACACTGCCAAGAATCCTGCCATTAACCCTGTATTCTGCATTCAAATTTGACCTTCCCAAATGAATCACTTCACACTTTTCCGGGTTGAATTCCATCTGCCACTTCTTTGCACAGCTCTGCATCCTGTCAATGTCCCGATGCAACCAACAACAGCCCTCCACGCCATCCACAACTCCACCAACCTTTGTGTAATTGGCAAACTTACTCACCCACCCTTCCACTTCCTCGTCTAAGTCATTTATAAAGATCACAAAGATCAGAGGTCCTAACACATATCCCTGGTCACCGAACTCCAGGCTGAATACTTTCCATCTACTACCACCCTCTGTTTTTTGTTGTGACAGAGATGAGGAAGAAACACTTCTCTCAGAGGGTAGTGAATCTGTGGAATTGTTTACCACAGAAGACTGTTGAAGGCTGGGTAATTGAGTATATATTCAAAGCTGAGATGGACAGATTTTTAATTGGTAAGGGAATCAAGCTTTGTGGGAATATGGCAGCAAAGTCAAGTTAAGGATTATCAGATTAGCCATGATCTCATTGAATAGCAGAGCAGACTTGATGTGCAAAATGGCTTACTTCTGCTTCTACATCTCATGGTCTTAAGTTTGATATAACTGAGTGGCTTGCGTAGCCATTTCAGAGGGCAGTTAAGAGTCAACCACATTAGTTCACCTGCAGTTCTGACGTGGTCAATGTGGCATGGATTTGCAGTGGAAACGGTTGATCGTACAAACACTGCATCAGATTTCTCCGTTTGCTGCTTTTCTTTATAGTTCTGAACCATGGATTGCCTGCTACCAAACTATAGAGTGACAGTCACTGGATGCGTACCTTGTGCGGTGCCAAAGGAATGGACAATGATTGGTAATGACTAACTCCAAGCACAGAGTCTGTTTGTATTCACTCATGCACGCCAAGAATAAAGGTTGGTGATTTAGCGGATTGCAGTTCATGTGCTAAAGGGCAAAAACTGGAAACGTTGGGGAAGTGAGGTCATTAGCTTTCCCTACATTGATACTGATAATAAAAAATGTAATAAATTACATGCATCTACACTCAAAAAAGATGCATGCAATTAAAAATATGAAGAGGATTGATTTTTAATATATCTACCTTACTAACTTAGTTGATAATAATTTCATTAACGCTGAGCACATCAATCAAAGATGCATCTGAGTTCATTCTTTCTTAAGAGCCCCTTTCAATCAAAGGGATAAAAAGAAACCTACGGAGATGCAGGAAGATTTCATGTGAATACAAGATAAAAGCAAACTTCAAGTGTAGTCATGTTTATTCCATAACCTCACCACAGGTCTAATTTAAATACAAATCATTTTTTAAATACAGAGACAGTGCCAAATGAATGAAAAATTGCGAACATGGTCTCCTCTGCCCAGAGAGACAGAGAGAGAGAGATAGAGAGAAGCATATATGCCCAGTGAACAGCACCGCTGAAGAAACTTTTAAAAATCAATAACTGGGACAAAAATGCATAAAAATTGAAAGTAAATGTGGATTTGTTACAGGCAACTGGTGTTCAATTAATTTTAAAAATTCTGGGATGAAAATGATGAAGGAAATATGACTGATATTTTGTATAAGAATTTTCAAAAGCAGTATAATAAAGTACCATAGACTTGTCAACAAAATTAAACCGCATGGAATTAAAGGGAAAGAGATACAGTTTGGATACTAAATTGACTAAAGCAGAGCAAATTGAATGGTAATTTTTCCAACTGGAGAGAAATATAATACTTCCAGGACTGGTGTTAGTAACATAGATCAACAAAGAAATGGTAAGACCTGAACCTGAGTGGGCAGGAAATACAGTTCAAAATTTCCAGATGACAAAACTCGGACTCAGTAAACAAGGATAGTACTGGCCCTCTAATTCATTACCTGAAAAAGGGTGTTGGAAGCAGATTCATTCCCCATTAGGGAACTGATAAGCATTTGATTTACAGGGCTGTGGGGCTATTTGAATAGCTATACCCAAGAGTTAGCATAGGCATGGCTCAAAATGATGTGCTGTATCATTCCATGATTTCAAACACGACTTATAGTGCAGTACAGGATTTCACGGGCACTGTTAACAGGTTGGAAATATTGAAGGTGACCTCTGCAAAGATCTTCACATGCTGCTTCCAATTGGTACTTATCTAAAAACCTATATGTGTACCACCTAAAAGAAGCATAAACAGAACCAGTTTCAGATTTTAAAAATGTGAAAGAGTAGTGCAAGGACACTGAAGAAGCTAGCAGCTAGTGCAAGAATTACATTGGAAACCTGCCAGAATACACAATTTCTCCATCTACTTGTAACTTAAAAACCCTCCACAGATAGTGCCAGACACACTTTCCAGAATTTTCTGGTTTTATTTCAGATTTGCAGCATTTGTGGTGTTTTACTTCAGTATTGATGCTTTTTGGGCTGTTGTTCAGTTGTAATCCAAATGATTTCCACAAAGACGTCAAAACTGAAATATTCAAAAGAATTGTGCAATTGTTATCTCATCTTGACCAGGGTATGAATTGCTGCAAGGATCTCTTGAACCATAATAAATCAGGGAGTAAAAGATATACAGCAAGTTAAACAGGGCATACTGACACTACATAATAGAGAATATCAAAGTGACTTACCATAGCTGTTGACAAGATCAGAGAGTAAATTACAAAAATGCTAAATCCTTTTATCTCAGTTTAAAAAGACTATTGGTCTACAGAGACATTGTTTTCTACTGAAGCCTGGCAGTTTTAAATTACCGATTAAATCTAGGCTTGAAAATAAAAGACATTTTGAAGTCTCAATTTAAAAATATCACCTTTGTATTGAGCAAGTGCAATTTAAAAAGAAATTGGGTGTTGGATCAGAATCTGTTACATGCAACATGATTTATACACCTTGGCTGACAACAGAAGAATGGATTGGAAAAAGCTGTTTCCTGTTAGAATTTGGAGAATTGAATAAACAAACTTATGGCTATAGCACATGAGAGTCCTCGATGATGCTCCTAAGTATCTGATAAATCTCTCACTGTGTCATTTATCTTTTAATACCCACTCATAATCAAATATTTAAGATTTTAAAATAACCCATTATCATTAACCATTCTTCTCAGCATTAGCAAGCACTGGCATTTTCCAACAGTTGTGCTGGCAAGAAATTCAGCAACCAAATGGCACACACTTTAGTTCATTTCCAGATTGCTTCGATACCTCCTCCCATACTAAATGGGGGGGGGGGGGGGGGGGGGTAGAGTTAGAATTAACTTCAACATTCCTAATATACGAAAAGAAGGTGCTCCTGAATGTGATTCAGTGCCAGCTGAAAGTTCATTTATGCAGAGGTTAACATCTAGTGAATACAGCAAGTCTCCACTTAATGTTTTGTTAAAAAGTTAATAGCATTGGGGACAGCTTAGCTAGAGGAATAGATCTCTGCAGCAAAAACAAAGTCCCAAAGGCTGGCATGCCTACCTGGTGCTAAGATCAGGTCAAGTCAATCTAAAAGTACATTGAGTAATTTTTAAAAAAAAAACCATTTCAAGTAGTTACATTTATTTATTTTTATATTTTAAAGAAGGTTATTTTGCTTATGAATGTAAGCATTTAGAAATCTCTAGCTTTTCAAGTTTTGAAATTTTTTTCCACGCAAGCACCTAAAATTGTACAGCTTAAAAATATTTAGTGATTTATCTTTTGAAGCTGTTTCAGCTCGGAATGTACAGTACTGCATTTTAACCTGTATTTTTTGTTTCTGAGCAAGAAATGCCTGAAGAAATCAAATCAGAGGAGCAAGAACTGCAGATGCTGGAGTCAGAGATAACAGTGTGCAGCTGGAGGAACACAGCAGGTCAGGCAGCATCAGAGGAGCAGGAAAGTTGACGTTTCTGAATTTTCTGAAGAAGGGTCCTGACCTGAAACGTCAGCTTTCCTGCTCCTCTTTCCTGGCCCGCTGTGTTCCTCCAGCTCCACACTGTGTTATCAAAGAAATCAAATTCTTGTTTCTCCCCCTGTTTTTTTCAGAAACACAACCACAACTTTAAATGGAGGACTCACTGTAGCTTACAGCATTCAAAGTTCATAAATAAAAGTGACCTTTTCAATGAGTTAGCTCACAGCTGGAGTACTGTACACAATTCCAATCACCACATCCTTGGGATGAGCATACAGGACCTGAAGGCTGTGCAGCATAAATTTAGCTGAATAATACTCAAATTGCAAGGGTTATGTTAAAAAGAAAGATTACACAAATTGGGGTCGTATTCTCTAGAATTCATAAAGTTAAGGGTCAATTATGTAGGATTGAATTTATTTCTCAACAATTAGTCATAGCTTGGTTATGTATAATGATTAAGCGAGCCAGGTACTGACATCATTATCCTGCATGCGATTTGTTGCATGGACTCAGATAACAAACTCAGATGGTGGAGGAGATCAACTTTCTATGGCTCGCTTTATTACAAGACAAGTGTATGTATGTATGTGTGTTGAAATATGGAACTAGCTGCCACAGGAAGTGGAGGAGGCGGGTACAATTACAACATTAAAAGGGCATCTGGACAGAAATATGAAAAGGGAGGGAGATGGGCCAAATGCTGGCAAATGGGACTCAGTCAGATTGCGATGTTTGGCTGGTATGGCCGAGTCAGACCAAAGGGTCTTTTTCCATTTCTGTCGACTCTCTGACTCTAAATATGAAGCCACTTTGAAGACATGATCCAGCTTTAAGGCACAGTTTTGTCCCAAACTCCCTTACCTTTGTAACTTTAAAGGCCCTTAAAGACCAGCAGTTACTTTCTTTGAAAGTATATAACAGGCAATTTTAATGAGGAAGTTACCCTCCTCCCTCCGGACAAACCTCAAGGGATCTCTCTCCCACTGCACCTCTCCACCTATCCTCTCCGCCTCCCACTCTCTCCCTATTTATTTCGGAACCCCCTTCCCCTCCCCCTTTTCTGATGAAGGGTCTAGGCCCGAAATGTCAGCCTCTCTGCTCCTATGATGCTGCTTGGCCTCCTGTGTTCATCCAGCCCTGCACCTTGTTGTCTCGGATTCTCCAGCATCTGCAGTTCCTACTATCTCTGATTCAATTTTAATCTCATTTTTTTTGTTGGAATTTTCAGTCAACTTGTTTCAGGTACCAGCAGTCACTGCAAAGCCATTAATAAATGGTTATACGATTGTAGTAGAAGACTAGAAAAGCATTACTGGAAAGGATACTCCCACACATCACTGATATCTTAGCGAATCAGGCATGAAAAGGAAATATATTATTAAGGTGACCAGCACCCTTAAGAAACTAATCTGAAACTGGGTACGCACCGTCTAGCCAACCTAAGATTGACCAAGTGTTGTTCTTGTGTTGGCAAGCCAGAGATCAGTATGTCATTGGTAAAGCTATAGCAGTGGTTAGTAAGGGTTAATAAGCAGTAACACATAGCAGCCAGGCTCACACCAAGAAGACAGGATAGTCAACAAAACATGAAACAAGCACCAAGAAAGCCAGAAGTGAGTAGCTGGACAAAATGAACCCACCATCTTAGTAAATAAAATCAGACGATACTCAAGTTGCTTCAGTGCGTAGATCAGTGTGTCAGTGGCAGAGGAGTTGGCTTTACTAGGGTTAAATCATTTAAGATGGCAGTGGTGGAAAAGGAAGTGCCCAGGCCCTTGAGGCTAGGGCTTGTCTACCGTCTGTTTTTCTTTTTAGTTTTTGCTTCTACCTACCTTCTGCGGGGAGCTTGGTGGTGGCGACATTGGTGAGGAAGGCAGAAGGCTGCAGCAAGGCAGCTTCATTGGGGTTTAGAGTGTGGCAGTAGCTGGTGAGTCCGGAGCAGGATTCTGGTAGCAGTGGCGAGGAAGCGGCTAATGGAGGGGTGAGCATGGGATTCAGCATTGGCTGCTACATCGGCAGAGGTGACGTCGGTGAGGTAGGTCCAGGGCAAAAGATGGCACCTGAGGAGTGGGGACTTCAATGTTGGTTGGGTCTGGCGCTAGCTGGGGCGGAAGGGTTATGGACTCTCTTTAAGCTATATCTTTCCATTTTTAAAATTATTTTAAAAAACATTCAAAATGGTGCCGGATCACGGTGAGAGTGAAAAATGTTCACTGTATTTTAAAAAGTGAAAAATACACACGACAATAAAATTATTCATTCATTCAAATTAACTAATTTCTTCGAGATCTTGCTGTTATGGTTGCACTTATCCAGGTGAGTGGTGAGTACTCCATTACACACTTGACTTCAGCCTGAGGAAATGTCTTCAAGCAGTCATGGGGTTAACTTCTGGTCAATGGTGAACCCTAGTACATTGATGATAAATGTTTTAGGGGTGTGTTACAGAGGGTTCAAAAAAAAACAAAAAAAAACATTTACCCTTAGACACATTAAAGGGGAATCTCAGGTTTGGACATGATTTGGTTTAGATTTTTCAGTAGTAGCACTGTACGTCAGCTATCAACTAACATTACGGGAGTCTAACATTTTGGAGTGGGGACGCTAAAACAAAAAGTGACAGTGAGATAGTAAGAATGCCATTTACACTGGCAATTTTAAAGACCTCTTCACCGCTCTGAAGGCACAGGTTAAAGTCTCACCATAACAACTTACAGAATTGAAAGCTGCTCTGTTATGGTGGCAATGAAACTTTCACAGATTGCTGTAAACAATCCCTTGCTCACTGATATCCATCAGGGAAGGAAATCTGCCATCCTTTCCTGGTTTGGCTTATATATACACACAGGACTCCAGTCCCACAACAATATGGTTCACTTTTAACTGCCTTCTGAAATGGTCTAGCAAGTCAATTCAATTCTGAAGGGCAGTTAGGGATGTGCAATAAATGCTAGCTTTGACAGTGATATCCACATCTCATGAAACAATAAAAATACATAGTAAGAAGAAATATGATGCGGTAGTGCCAGTGGAACCTGGGTAATAAAAATCCTACACTGGCATCGCCTAAGGAGCATACTGTTTTTTTGCCTTTATGGGTGCCAACTCTTCAAAAGCTGAATATGAGCATAGTCTAAGTTTCTCAAAAATAGCCCCCAAACGTGGACTGTTCAGTAAGGTACTTGTAATTTGAGTTCTTAACCTGAATAGGCTACATATTTGGCAGATATTTCCACAGATTACTGTCAATTCCAGGAAAAACTAAAGTTGGGTGAAAAAGTTATCATCCCATGAACCCAATAGAGGACAAGAGCATGAACTTAGCAAATATTTTTCCTGTTTTGGCTCTTTCAAAGAGCTAACTAATTTGTCACACTCCTTTACTTCTTTACCTGCAGTCCTACATTTCTTTATTTCCTTTCTGAAATACAGAATCAGCTTCAGACCTGCATGGTGAAAACTCTGAATGCACATCCATCCAGCAAAAGATTTTACTGAAATTTGTGAACCATTAGTATTCAAAATTGCAAGCGGATAAACAAGTTCACCATCGTACCTTGTAGAGGCTGCTCCCACCTATTATCCACACAAGATCCACTTTGTCCTGCAGCTCTGGTGAATCCAGATGAGCAAGTGCTGATTCCAAATCACGAGCCAGGTAACTTGCTCCTCCTGGCAGCTCCCTGAGAACCACAACAAATAGTAATGATTTACTTTCGTGCGTGGAAAGTCAGTGACTGGTCTACAAGCTTTACTAAACAGTACAAGAGTGACAGTTTAAAATGAGGGGGGAAGAATTTTTTTTGCACAGTGAGTGGTGGCGCTGGCCTGATGCCGGGTGAAGCAAGCCTGCAGGAGAATGATCTAACTGATTGGGCAGCTTGGTAAAATTCAGTGGTTAGCACTGCTGCCTCACAGCACCATGGACCCACGTTCCTGCGTAGGTTTTCTCCGGGTGCTCTAGTTTCCTCCCACAGTCCAAAGATATGCAAGTTAGGCCGATTGGCTATGCTAAATTGCCTAGTGTGCAGGGATTCATAGGCTAGGTGGAGTAGCCATGGGAAATACAGGGTTACAGGGATAGGATTGGGTTGGGAGGAGGAGGGAGTGGGTGGTGGTGGGGATGGATGGGCTGCTCTTTAGTGGGTCAGTGTGGACTCTATGGGCCGAATGGCCTGCTCCGGCACTCTAGGGATTTTACGATTGCTCTACAGAAGACAGCATGACTCAACTGGTCAAGTAGTCACTTCTGTGCTGTAATGAATTTATTACAGATTCATTTCCCCTTTCTTAGTTAATTCAGTAGATCACTGATTTGTTATAATTATTGCATCTGAAATGTTGAGATAATAGAGGCAGTGCTTTAAACAACTCATGCTCTTCAGGCAGTGGTGTAGTGCTAACATCACTGGGTTAGTAATCATTAGTAAACATTATTAGTAATCCAGAGCTCAGGTTAATATTTTGGAGATATGGTTTGAATCCCAACACGGCAGATCGTAAAAGTCTAGAATAAAAAGCTAGACTAATAGCGACCGTGTAACCACTGTCGATTGTCAAAAAACCCTTTTGGTTCACTTATTTCTTTTAGGGAGAAGATCTGCCTTACCTGGGCTGCCCCACAGGTGACTCCAAATCCACAGCTATGCCCTGTGGGCAATTAGTGATCGGCAATAAATATTGGCCTAGCTGGTGACATTCTCATTCCATGGATGAGTAAAAAACAAATTTCAGACTGCAAATGAACACAGATATAGAACGCAGTCCAAAACCCAAGTACAAACAGAATCTGACAAAAATGCATCAGTCTGCTTAGTCCCATAATTGGAAACTGATGGTGCTATTCAAATACGAGAGAAATTTAGTACAGAAATGCTTTTCAAAAAATAAAAAAATCTTTTCACCAGATTTGACAACTGATATATTGTCCGTGGGATCAGTTACATCAAGCTGAGAAGTAAAACAGAGGATTTCCCTTCTTTAGGACAACCCACCTGACTAACAGGCTGCTAGCAAACTGGGCAGTCCGGTAGACCTTTAGTTTTAAAGGATTCCAATTCCTTCCTGGCCAGCATTACCATCCACAAACCTGAAGCTATCCAAAGTTATCCTATCTATGTCTCATTTGCATCAATTGCAATTTCCCCCATTATTTGCATTCACCACCTACATTGGTTACAAACCCTCATCCTAGTTTTCAAACCCCTCCATGGCCTCAGCCCTCTGCATCTATGTAATCTCTTCCAATCTTAAGAGTGACCTGCACTTGTCTCTTTGCCAGCTCTTGGCCAATTGGATGATAACTTTACGCAGAATCACGCACTTTCTGCTATGGATCTCCATGTGACTGAAGAGGCAGATTCACAAACTACAGGTCTTTGGGCAGTAACACTGTCCAGTCCAACACAGTTGATTTCACAGGGGTTTTGCCTGCGTACTTCCGCAGCTACCTTGAAGCAGGGCATTATCATTTGTTTTATGATCCTGCCAATGAATCCAGAAAATGCAGAAGAGGCAATGCTGATGGAATTTCACCAGCACACAGTCCAGGTCTCATTTCACTTACTGGAGTGTGGTGCCAACTGCCCTGCCCAATAGGACTGGTGTTGACTTGCAGAAGCCTTTGTTGTCAACACTTGCGGCCATAACTTTTAGCAGATGGAGCTGGCACAGTTGATCCAGTATTGAATCCCTTCTTCAATGGTAGCCTTTTGAGAGAGGTGGCTGCCAAGGTAGGTGGTCAACATATTCCTGAATCACCTACATCCTATCTCCAGGCTGAGGACATCCTCCCAAATCACAATGTGGTTGCAGACCATCTACAGGAGCATCTGACATGGATTTTGTTGTCAAACAAATTCAAGACAAAATGTCAAGACAACCACGAGGAACCTTTTCTTGCAATTCAGTGACCAAACCAAAGCCAGTAAATATTAAGGCTCTGGAGATGATGGTCCCGAAAGCTCACCATAGTTCTGCACCTGATCCATGTTGATGACTGTAGCTGGCTCAGTGCCAAAACTAAACTGACCACCATGGATGCATGTGATCCACAGCTTTCAGATGACCATACTGCACCAGATTTGTAAGCTATTCTCAATTTATCTAATTCTGCATATGCAAGACTCTGCCTGTCCTTGAATGTTACCAAAACACTGCTCCTACATTAACCCAGATCTTGTTAGTGCATTCCTCTAATCCTAGCCTGTTGCATACCCTTCATTCTAACTGCTTCTTCATTGATGGCAGTGTTTTCAGATCTGCTGTAACATGCGTCAGGCAAGGACTGGATTGTCTCAGCTGCTGGCGCTCTGTACAGTTAAATACAGTATGGACACTCAAAGTCCCAATTCATGAACGAGTAGACATTTGGGTCCACTGTAGTTCAAACTAACATTGAAATAATCCAGTATGAGTGCAAAGGTGGCTTTCAATAGTTACTCTGCATATATTTTTCAACAAACTTTCTAGCGACAGAGAGGAAGATGAAGTTCCATCTTCATCTCGGCTTTGGCGCAACATTAAGTTAACATGTAATTACTCGAGTTTAAAACTGCAGTCCAGTGCTTCTCACACCTACCCTAAGCATTAAGGGTTGGAGTTACTTTCAGGTTTGAGAACTGATGCTCAAATGAGATATTTATTAAGTTATAGGGTTATACAACACAGAAACAGACCCTGCTGTTCAATTTGTCCATGCTAACCAGATATCTTTTCTCCTACATCTCACTGCAGGATGCTGTGCCACTGCAGACACATACATCAGTTCAAATGGAGCTGCCGAACATCACCCAGGAAACTTAAAATAAGCCACGTTTGGAATTGCATCTGCGGGTCTTAAGTTATTCTCTCTTATTTTGTACAGACCAGGATTTCTTTCTTTATTCCAATGCAGCTGGTTTTAAAATCTCTCCCCACTCTATCTAAACAATAATAAAGAGCACCTAACTACAGTTACTTCAAATCCATCCGGAAATATCAGTGTAGAATGGCTCACCATGAACATAATCTGTACCTGTAAACATAAAACAAAGCACTCCATCAACTTTGGGAGATACTCTCAATCAGGAATATTGTGTGCTTGACACAATTACCTTATTGGCTAAAGAGTGCATCACACCCATTGATCAAAAGGATTGCAATGCAATACCAATGTGGATCTTGCAACCAGCACATCCAAAAAGCTGGCAGAATTTTCTTCTTGATCTCTTTTTATCTGTTTAAGCTTAATGACATTATGACAAAATTTCACCAGCTCTGAACACACCAGATCAAAACACGGTAGTTTCAAAAGCTATCCTACAGGATACAATGTAGTTTTTAAACAAACACAGTTATTTCCACTTAAAGATCAAAATGATCTTTGCTTTCATCTTGTGTATGGTCCTAGTTTCTGAGTCTCCTCTTTAAATCAAATTCACAAATCTTAAGTGGGAAATGTACCAATGAGGATGTTTATTAATGAGATGATAATATCCAGATCCCTGGTGGTTCAGTGATCATAAACATTGCTTGTTCTTTACATTTCTGGGACAGACAAGAGGCCAGAATTCCTAGCCTTTCTCCAGTTATCCTCTGGAGCTGCACTGAGTATTAGTGATGTGAACACCTGAAACAAAAAGTCCTCCTCACCCGTCTCTTATTTTCGAGATTCTCCCACCTTCGAGATTCTCCCAGAAGAAACATTGTTTTCCACCCAACTGAGCAAGCACTCCTCAAGATCTTGTGTTTCAATCAAGTCACCTCTGACTTTTCAAAACTTGAGCAGACACAAGTCTAGAATGTTCAAGACAACACAGTGTGGAGCTGGAGGAACACAGCAGGCCAGGCAGCATCAGAGGAGCGGGAAAATTGTCGTTTTGGATCGGGACTCTTCTTCAGAAATGGGGGGAGGGGGAAGGAGCACAGAAATAAATAGAGAGAGGAGGAGTGAGGCTGGGGAATGTAGGTGGGATGGTGAGAGGTGAGTGCAGGTAGGCAGTGGTGGGGATTGGTCAGTGAGGTGGGAGGATCAGATAGGTGGGAGAAAAGTGGACAGGTTGTGTCAGGTCAAGGAGGCGGGTGTGAGAGGGAGGGTTGGTCATGGCTTGAGGCCGGGGGTGGGGAGATTTTTAAACTGGTAAAGTCCACATTTAGGCCATTGGGCTGTAGGGTCCCAAGGTGGAATATGAGATGTTGCTCCTCCAGTTTGCGGGTGGCGTCATTGTGAACTGAAGGAGGCCCAGGATGCACATGTCACGCAGGGAGTGGGAGAGGGAGTTGAAATGGTTTGCAACCGGAAGGTGTTGTTTGTCACGAACAGAGCGTAGGTGCTCTACAAACTGGTCTCCGAGCCTCCGCTTGGTCTCACTGATGTAGAGGAGGCCACATTGGGAGCAGCGGATGCAACAGACCACATTAGTGGATGTGCAGGTGAACCTCTGTCTAATGTGCAAGGTTTGTTTGGTGCCTTGAATAGAGGTTGTGGGGCGGGGGCGGTGGTGGTGGAGGGAGAAAGTGTAGCACTTTCTGCGGTTGCAGGGAAAGGTGCCGGGGCTGGTGGGGAGTGTGGAGTAGACAAGGGAGTCGTGGAGAGAGCGGTCCCTATGAAAGGCAGATAGGGGTGGGGATGGAAATATATCTTTGGTTGTGGTGTCGGATTGCAGGTGGCCGAAATGGCAGAGAATGATACGTTGGATATGGAGGCTGGTGGGGTGGTATGTGAGGACAAGGGGGATTCTGTCTTTGTTTTTGTTGGGGTGGAGGGGATGTGAGGGCAGAGGTGTGGGAAATGCAAGAGATGTGGTCATGGGGGAGAGTTGCAGTCCTTGAAAAACGAGGACATCTGGAATGTTCGGGAGTGGAACACCCCATCTTGGGAGCAGACACGGCGGAGGCGGAGGAACTGGGAGTAGGGGATCGCATTCTTACAGGAGGGTGGGTGAGAGAAGGTGTAGTCTAGGTATCTGTGGGAGTCGGTGGGCTTGAAATAGATGTTGGTTTCAAGGCGATCACCAGAGATGGAGACAGACAGATCCAGGAAGAAGAAGAGGGAGGTATCAGAGATGGTTCAGGTGAATTTGAGGTTGGGATGAAAGGTGTTAGTAAAGTTGATGAACTGTTTGAGCTCCTCGTGGGGGCACGAGGCAGTACCAATACAGTCAGTGATGTAGCGAATGTAGAGGTGGGGGATAGTTCCCGTATAGCAGCGGAAGAGAGACTGTTCCACGTATCCTACAAAGAGGCAGGCATAGCTTGGGCCCATGCAGGTTCCCATGGCCCCCCCTTAGTCTGTAGGAAGTGGGCTTTTGGGAAGGAGATAGAAATGGGCGGTGTGAGGCTGGGGAGCGATGGGGCTGCAGGCTGTGGGTGAGAGGTCAGCTGAGGTGATGAGGTAATGAATGATCTGAGAGATGATGGTTTGGTGGTGAGGAGTGGGGTCATGATCGAGGGGGCGGTAGGAGGAGGTGTAAGAGAGTTGGCTCCTGGCCTCCGCGATGTAGAGGTCAGTGCACCATACCACTAATGTGCCCCCTTTATCCGTGGGTTTGATGGTGAGGTTAGGGTTGGAGTGGAGGGAGCGGAGGGCTGCACGTTCTGTGGGGGAAGAGGCTGGAGTGGGTGAGAGGGATGGAGAGGTTGAGGTGATCGATGTCACAACTTTACTTCACAAGATAGCCTGTCCATTCCAGGTCTTAGTCTGAATAATTCAGAGAAGGTTTCTTAATGCATCTACATTCTTCCTTGTGGATACAAGAGCACATTAGAGGCTAGGAATACTGTGACCAGTAACTCATCTCCGGACTCCCCAGAGCCTATCCACCATCTACAAGGCACAAGTAAGGAGTGTGATGGAATACTCCCCACTTGCCTGGATGGGTGCAGTCCCAACAACACTCAAGAAGCTTGATTCCATCCAGGACAAAGCAGTCTGCTTAATTGGCATTGCATCCACAAGCATCCACTCCCTCCACCACTGACGCTCAGTAGCAGCAGTGTGTACAATCTACAAGATGCACTGCAGTAATTCACCAAAGATCCCCAGGCAGCACCTTCCAAGCCCACTTCTATCTAGAAGGGCAAGGGCAGCAAATATATGGGAACACCAGCTCCTTCAAGTTCCCCTCCAAGCCACTCACCATCTGACTTGGAAATATATCGCCGTTCCTTCACTGTCGCTGGGTCAAAACCCTGGAATTCCCTCCCTAATAGCATTGTGGGTCAACCCACAGCAGGTGGACTGCAGCAGTTCACCAGCACCTTCTCAAGGGCAACTGGGGACGGGCAATAAATGCTGCCCAGCCAGCGATGCCCACATCCCACAAATGAATAAATTAATAAAAAAGGAAACCTAAACTGCACACTGTACTCCATTTGTGGTCTCTCCAATGTCCAGTTTACAGCTGAAACAGAAACCTCCCTACCTACCCCACAAGGGCAGGTGAGGCTTGGGTACATTATTGCTTTTATTTCTACCTCAGGACTTAATGGTTTACACTTGAATAAACAATACTTGGGCAGTGCCCATGTACCCCTATCCAATAAGGGGCTCAAAATCTTCAAGGAAAGAGAGTATGTTGCGGGGAGAACCAAAACACAAACAAGTTAGGCAACATATGTTAAAGATAAAATTACACCACATTATAAAGTTCCCTAAAATGAGGGAAGCCATAATTCCATTTTCTCTATGTGGCTAAACTAAAATTTGAGATTGTGATGAAATCTACAGCGATGTAAGATTAAACTAGCATATAGAACGTCTGTTCAATCATGTTAATGCAACTTTTATTCTACACAATTATGTCAAAAGTTCGAAAGCAAATGCTGAGAATTTTCGCACCTTATCCAAAATAAAAATGCAACTGCCAATGGAAAATACTGCGGTCTCCCTTTACCAGAAGTAAATATCACCTCTCAGACACTTACTTCAGTTCTCTGCTTAGTACAATATTTATCCGGTTCTTAAGTGGCCTAAACTTCTCAGGAATAGAGAACCAGGTTTTCCGTCCCATCACGACAGCATTGATTTTCCCTGTTAGAAGTTCAAACATAGCACACATCACTTTTACAGGTCAAGAGTGAGCATATCACAAAACCCAATAAATACAGTTGATTCTTGAGAATTAGGCCAGCATTTCACTCTGTCCCAACATAAAGCTGTCCTCACTTCTGAAAAATTTTTATATTACACACAACTGAAAGATTTTTTTTGTCCTCATCACCAAAGGTTTTTTTTTTCCTCATCTATTAACCATCACCAGTAAATCCAAACGGTATTTCCAATGGAATAATTTACGTGCAAAGACCATTAAGGGCAATGCAAACCATCAAAGGTGAGGGAGAAGGGGGTGGGGGCTAATATGCTCAGACTTTAAAGCCAGCCAACAGGCTTGAAACACTTGAACATGTATGGAGTGCCAGGGCTGTGATCATGGTAATAATTGCCCAGTCAATTCACACCAGCAGAAAGGATATAAAGTAGCATTCTATGTAACAATAAAGGAAGTTAAAAAGGAAGTCGTGAAATAGTGACACACAGTGGCAGAAAAATAAAATTAATATTCCAGTTGGCCAATACAAATTTCTCAAATGGGCCAACTAATCATCACAACAGCTTTTCAGCTACTTGAGCCAGTTTGAATTTCAGTCAGATCCTGGTTGATCGTTATTTCAAGCCCATTCATCCACCTGTAGCTCCATATGATTTGACCTAAATGAGGTAAATATTATCGATCTCTGTTTTCAAAGTTCCACTGTTGCAGGACTGACAGTCTTTACAACCCTTCATCTAAACGAGGAGCTTCCCGATTTCAATGCTGGAAGGTCTTGGCTCTAATTTCAAGTCACCGTGTTACCCTGCATTCTTTCAAAAAAGACTGGAGGGTCTCGGAGACGAGGAAAAATTGGATAGACTGGGGTTGCTTTCCTTGAATCAGCAAAAGGTTGAGAAGGGGCTGATTAGAGGTATAAAAGATGATGAGGGGCATTTATAGGGTGGATAGGAAGGTACTTTTTCTATTAGTAGAGGAGTTGATAACCAAGGGGTTTAGATTTAAGATTAAGGGGTAGAAGGCGATGGAGAGTCAAAAATAGTCTTTTTGCCACCCAGAGGATGGTGGGAGTTTGGAACTCACTATCTGAAAGGGTGAGTGAGTCAGAAACTCTTGTATAATTTAAGCAGTGTTTAGATGTTCACTGGTGTTGCCATAGCCTCCAGGACTATGGATAAAAAAAAACTGGAAAATGGATTACCATCATCCGATCTTTGTTGAACAGTGCAGACACAATAGGCTGTAAACGTCTACAAGTCCAGAAAGGTGTCTCTTAAGCTTTTGTCATTTTAAGCACCTCTATTCAATCATGACTGTACGTCTGAACACAAGGGAATACGAACTAGATTTATGCGACCTGCCTTCAGAATTTAGCCCTGTTGGTCCCGTTCTGGTCACATAAACAGCAGGCCAATTACCTGATAATCATTCTTATTTAATAGTCAATTAAAAGCAGGAAATCAGGGAAATGCTTCATGATTAACCATCCATTGCTAAGCAATTGTTAGATCAAAAAGAAGAAACAGTGACCATCTGTGGAGATAGTTGTCAAATTCAAGTGTCTATTGCTGAAGTCATCAATTAGATGTGATACAGAGTTGGAGCAGAGGAGTGACATGGTTCTACAATACCCCAGAACATTTTTAAAAGTGTTGGTAGTACCTTCTACTGATGGTGTGGTGGTCATCTTCTGAAAATACTTGAGTTCTTTGCTAAAAGTTGAAAAAGCATAATTTGAAACAATTAGTTCAAAGGAAATGCAGCTATTAAAATTAACTTAAAAGTGAACAATTTTACTTTGAGCTATTAATGCAACTCTACTTAAACATTTCTAAGAAATTGGTACGCCAACTCATGTAATAATTTTTCATTATAAAATTACTACTAACCAACTCTTTCCAGCAAAGGTGGTGGGAATGGTGCAATGGGAGTGTCCCTATTTGTGGTCCAAACAGTTTGGATTCAAGTTCCATCTGCCCTGATGATGTATCTTAATTGAGCAGGCTGATTGAAAAAGGATTCTTGTGATGCAGTGGTAATGTCTCTACCTCTGGGCCTGAAGTATGCATTCAAGACCCAGCTACCCCGGATTTGTATTGCAATATGTATGAACAGGTTGATTAAAATATCTAGAAATTCTAAATTAAATATTTGAATCCTTTGAATATGCAGCAAAAAAAAAACAAAACACACAGGAGATTCCACTTTGATCAGCGAGATCAGAGGTATAAAAGATGATGAGGGGCATTTATAGGGTGGATAGGAAGGTACTTTTTCTATTAGTAGAGGAGTTGATAACCAAGGGGTTTAGATTTAAGATTAAGGGGTAGAAGTTGATGGAGCGCCTTATTAGTCATTCAATACGAATGCGGCCTACCATTGGTGGTGTTAAGTACAAAGGCACTGGGTGAACTTCTCCTGGGACTTGAAGTTAAGTGAAACCGACATAACTCAGTATGAGTCAAGCAAGTTATTTTTTATTCTCTCGTGGGACATGGTCTACACTGGCTGACTAGCATTTACTGTCCATCCCTAGTTATCCTTGAGAAGACGGTGGGGAGCTGCTTTCTTCAACTGCAGCAATCTATGTGCTGTAGGCACAACCATAAATGTTGTTAGAGAGAGAATTCCAGGATTTTGACCCAGCCATAGTGAATGAACAGTGATATATTTCTAATTCACAGTGCTGAGTGGTTTGGATGGGAACTTGCAGTGGTGGTAATGTTCCCATGAATCTGCTACCCTTGTCCTTCTAGATGGACATAGTCATGGATTAGGAAGGTACCGCCTAAGGATCATTGGTGAATTTCTGCAGTGCATCTTGCAGGTAGCACACAATGCTGCTACTGAGTGTCAGAGGTGGAGGGAGTGGATTCTTGTAGATGTGGTGTCAATCAAGCAGGCTGCTTCGTCCTGGACGATGTCTAGCTGTGGTTATTGGCTTGCTTGTGGAGCTGACTGGTTATCGTGCAGATGGGGCATCATCATGCTAGGTAACATCATCCGCGTGGCCTCCGATGACGCGATGTTGTTCTACTTTGCTTGGAATTTATATGATCTGGTCTGGTAAGTTGGGTTGCGTCATTTCTGGTTCTTTTTCCATGGGTTTGTTTGTATTTCTAATTCCACGTTTGTTGATTGCATTATGGGTTGAAAACCAGGCCTTTAGGAATTTCTGTGTGTGTCTGTGGTTGGCTTGAGCTAGGATAGTCACGTTGTCCCAGTTAAATTGATGTCAAACTTCTTGAATGTTGTTGAAGTTGCACTCATCCAGGCCAATGGGGAGTATTCCATCAAACTCCTGTCTGATGTCTTGGGGACAGGCGTTGGGCAGTTGGGAGGTGAGTTACTTGCTGCAGTATTCCTAGCCTCTGACCTGCTCTTGCTGCCATTGTATTTATGTGGTGTGTTCAGTTGAGTATCTGGTTAATGGTAACCCCCAGAATGTTGACAGTGGGAGATTCAGTGATTGTAACGCCACTAAATGTCAAAGGGTGGTGGTTAGATTGTCACTTACTGGAGATTGTCATTGTCAGCATTGGTCAGTCTATGCCTGGATATTGTGCACATCTTGTAGCATTTGAACATGGACTGGTTCAGTATCTGAAGAGCTGCAAATGGTGCTGAACACTGCAATCATCAGTAAACATTCCTACTTCTGACCTTGGCTTGGAGAGAAGATCATCGATGAAGCAGCTGGAGATGGTTGGGCCTAGGATATGAGCTTGAAATGTCCTGATGCTGAGATGACTGACCCCCAACCATCACAACCATGTCCTTATGTGCCAGGTATGACTCCAAACAGCAAAAGGTTTGCCCCGATTCCCACTGATTCCAGTTTTGTTCAGACTTTTATGTCACAATCGGCTGAATGCAGCCTTGATGTCAAGAGCTTTCACTCTCATCTTAATTCTGGAATTCACACAGTTGTCCATATTTGAGCTAAGTCTATAATAAGGTCAGGAGCTGAGTGGTCCTGGCAGAACCCAAACTGGGTGTCACTGAGCAGGTTATTGCTGACCAGACACTACATGATAGCATTCTTGATGACGCCTTCCATTACTTTAAGAACGTAAAAGAAGTAGCCCATTAAGTCCCTCAAGTCTACTCTGCCATTCATTACAATGATGGCCAATTGTGTCTTAACTCCACAATCATTACCTTGTAGTTCACAGACCTAAATTACTGGCAATGGAAAAATTACTTGTGAAGCTATCCTCTGTATGACCACTGTAAAGTTCTACAGAGATTTTTTTATGCACTTTTAATATGTATAGGATGTCTGGGTGGATGCATTCAAACACCATACTAATTCTAAGTACCTACGTTAATATAACTTACATATTGAAGATGATAGACATGTTTAAATCTTTCCTGTCACCATGCATCATTGCAAGTTAGTTTGCATCTAAATAGCTGGCTAAATAATGTCCAAATAAAGTTAATCAGTTATGTCTGGCAATACTGACCCTTGAATCTGTGGCTATTAACTCAAAGTCATATAGACTACAAAACCTCCGCCCCCTCCCTAAACACGCAAGGCTGCCTTGACCAGTGTCCGAAAACATTCATATAGCATTCCATCATGAACACCGTGTCCACATGGAATACCATGTCAGTTCTTTGTGCCCAGTATTGTTATATAGACCGAGGAGAATTTGAACAGCAGCAAAGGCAAGCAATTGCATGTCAACCCCTGCTGGTATCTCTCCTGGTCAGGAAGAAAGTTACATCGTGCAGATTAGGAACGCATAGAACTAGGTTGGGTACAAGAGGCTCTTCTTATTTCAGAAGATGGAAATACCTTTGGGAGCCCGGGAAAGTCAACGAAGAAGGCGACAGAAATGTCGGGTGGGTCACGGAAAAGTACGATGAGCGATGTCCAGCGGGGAGAGCCGGATTGCTCAGCGTATCCTGGGCAAGCTCTGAGCTCCACCGTCTCAGTCACACAGCAGGCCCGGTAGCATCAGAGGAGCAGGAAAGTCGACGATTCTGAATTTTCTGAAGAAGGGCCCCGACCCGAAACGTCAGCTTTCCTGCTCCTCCGATGCTGCCTGGCCCGCTGTGTTCCTCCAGCTCCACACTGTGTTACATCTGCAGTTCTTGCTATGTCACGGTGTCAGTTACTCCTGGATTACTTACTTCAATCTGTTCGGGTGCCAGGGGAAATTTCCGTCTTTGCCGATCCCCATGTTGGGGCAAACAGCGACGATACAGTTGAACAAGCGGGGCATCTTTTAGCTTTCTGGGCAGGGAGCTGATCCTGCGGGAAACCCACAAACTGAAACGGAGTTCCGTGCAGCGCGGCAAAAACAGCGCGCCCAAATGACGCCACTCCGGCGCAACCAATGGCAAAGCCCATGTCCTAAATGGATACATTGATCAGTCATCGGCTCCGAAGGTCCCACAGCTACTTCCACCGGGAAATTTTTCTCAAGAGATCGATCCAAATACTTTCTTCTTTTTATTTCTGGGCACGACTTTTTTATATGTCAAATAAATGAAGAAAAGAAATGGAGAAACCAATAAAATTTCAGTCTTCACGGAACTGTACGGAGATTCCTCTTATCAATACTGTCATGGGCAGACGAATCTGTGGCAGGCAGATTGGGGAGGATGAGGTCAAATATGTTTTTCCATCTTGCTGGTTTGCAAAGGAAATCTGAAGAGAGATGCAATAGTTCTTGTCAAGGTTCATCCTGAGCAGCCCTGTGACAGGATTTTGTGCTCTACAGTCTGTTGCCTGGGACGCACACCAAGACAAACATCGTCTGCTGGCTGGAGGATCATCACCTTGGTGAAAGATGTTGTTTGGTCTGCCTGAGACTTATTGGTCTTCCAGAGCAAGGAGTTGACCTCAATAAAGTGTTGCAGACTGGCACATTCCAATGTCCGGGACTATGTGCTGAGAAATGAACTAAAGCTTGGGACAGCTGCTGCCAAGGTGCAGTGGGGAAAGACTACTGTCTGGGGTCTTTCTGCTGAAGTTAAGTGAGAGTCCATTTAGTTATCAGACCCTCCTAGTTCCTCAATGCATTTTAAAAACAGTCTTGAATGTGTAAGAGATGTCTTTGGTTTGTTTGGATAGAGTCAAACTCCAATGTTTGTTTGTTTCCTTGGTATGCTACTGTACAGAACCAAACTGCAGTTGTGACAATGTATACGTACAAAGATATTTTTTATGAATAAAGTATATCTATAAAATTAAAAAAAAGTTGATTCCTTCATTACCTGCCACAGACTCAGTATGGCAGCTGTAACCTTTAGAATTCAACCCCGGTCAGTAAATGGTGCTGCTGTGCTACTCCTGGCAATGGACATTTAAACCTCCACCCAGAGTACATTCTGTGCCCTTGCAGCCCTCAGTGCTTCCATTGAAGTGATGTTTAACATGGAGGAGCACTGATTCATCAGCCGGGGTTGGCGGTCACAGTACATGGTAATAAGCAAAATCTCCTCACTCATGTTTAATCTGATGCCATGAAACTTGACACTTGATGCTATGACACTAGATTTGAAATCAATGTTGAGAACTCCCAGGACAATTCCCCCCCAAACACTGTGCTACCACCTCTGATAGGTCTGTCCTGCTGGTGGAAAAGGACATATCCAAGGATGGTGATGGTATTGCCTGGGACATTGTCACTAAGGTATGATCCTGTGAGTATGACTACATCAAGTTGTTGCTTTATATAGTTGCAACGACCATAGCCTTGTATTCCATCCATGCTTGGACTCTTCCCATTATTTTGTTTATTTCCCTTACTGCCTATATTGACAATGCACTGTCTGCCAGCAGTCTCTATTCCCTGAAATTCCTCCCTTTCTGTCTATCATCCTGTCAACAAGAGCCTCCTTAGAATCCATGCCTTTGATGAAACCTTACTACTTTGGTTCAGTATCAACTTTTTCCCTGATTACACTTCTGTAAGTTCTTTGGAGGGTTTTTCATGTTAAAGGTGCTTTACAAACACAAGTCAACATTTTATATTCACAAGTGTCAACATCCCCAATTTTTACAGCCTTTCCTTCGTAACTGGGTGCCTAATCCTAGCCATAAATTTAGTTGTCCTGTATTTTCATGGCTGTATCATTTCCCCCAATATAGTGACCAGATTTGCCAACCACTTTAAAGAGTAGACTAACTCTTCCTGAGATTTGTGCTTCAAGATAAGCCAAGATCGTACTTGTTCTTGAATTGCTCTCATTGTGCTGATGGCTTCAGTAATCTAACCAACAAGCTCCTTTCTTATGTCAAGAATAACATCAATTAAATATTTATATCTACTATTTATGATTCTTTCTCTGTCTTTACATTTGTTTACATTATCTGGCAATGGGATCATGCCAGCTCTTCTGGAGTCTCCTTTAGCTTCAGTCATACCCTCCGACTAATGCAATGGTGATTGTATTGCTGTATCTTTGCAAAGAAACAAAGAGAAACGTTGCATTTTTGTGGCGAGGGTTGCATGTTTAAGAAATACATGCTGTTACTATCGTATAAAACGAGTGCAAACAGAAAAATGACATATGTTTCAGTCAGCAGGCTTTACATTGTTTCCTACATTGTGGTGAAGTAGAGGTGTATTGTTTCCCACATTGTGGTGAAGTAAAGGTGTTCATTGTTGCAGTTAACCCGTTGTTACAGAGAGCGCGGTGCAGCTTTAAGGGAAAGATAACAGGAGCACGTGGGTCCCGGCTTCAATTCTAACTCTGCCTCTGACGTGTTTTTGTGCCGCCGCCGCTGCTCCGGAATTGAGTAGTTCCTGCTGCTGGAATCCAAGCGAGGGGACAGCCTGCTGCCTGTGCAGGGGCCTGGGGGATATCTGCAATGTCCAAGACGAAAGGCCGCGGGAAGAAGAGTGGTCAGCACCAGGCTGTGATTAGCAAGTTCTTCCGCCCTGTAGTCAGCAAAGATCAGGCCAAAGGACAGGGGCAAGACAACGCAGCAACAATCTCCCTCACCTCAGATGCAGCAGGGCAGCAGGTTGGGTGTTGCCAGGTTATGTTGTGCTATTCATTTACAATTGGTTAATTGACAAACTTAATTGCATGTGATTTTTATATGTATTTATTGTGTGTGTATAAATACATGTTCAGACTTTGGCAACAGATTGTAACAGTTAGGCTTGACGTTTTAGTCATATTATTTTGACAGCTATCCATCTCCTAATGCCTTTCTTTATACAACATTTTTTTTAAACCTAATTTCTTTGTTGGCTAGTTTTGGAGAATTTGTAGCCTGAGGTTGTGTGGGAGTATTCTAACTTCCCTTTGTAGCGTATGTTAGCTCTGAAACTCCAATCATGCTTGATAATAATAAGGGCCTGCACACTGAGGGTGTTTGCGGGATGCGTGATTATTCAAAGTGAAAGAAGTAAAGGCCACCTGGCTGTTCAAATCCGTTTTCTTCACAGATCAGATGCAGTTGCCTTGGCAAAATTTACTTCTGCGGAAGAGTTTATTGTGAGTAAAATCTGAAGTCAGAGAGAAAAAGAAACACTGAAGGGATGGTGTCCAAAGCTAGAGCTTGCAAGATGAGCTGCTAGGGTGGTGGTGGAGGCAGATACCATAGGGCATTGAAGGGACTTTTAGATAAGCACATGAATATGCAAGGAATGGAGGGATATGTCATGTTCAGCACAACATTGTGGGCTGAAGGGCTGGTTCCTGTGCTGTACAGTTCTGTGTTCAATGATGTTTCATGATGAAAGATCTAAAGATTAAATGTGACAGTAAAATAATTGCTTGACTCAAATGTTAGGTTCATAAAGTATTAAGAAGCATACTGAAAATGTAAATATAGAGATCTAAAACCTGATTAAGAGGAACATAGAGAACATACATAAATAGAATAATTATAAAGATTTATGTTACCACTATGTTTTACAAATCTTTTATGAAATGTGAGTATTGCTGTTCCAGCCAGCTTTTATTGGCCATCTCTAAATACCCTTTCAGTGTTGCTGGTGAGCTGTCATTTTGACTATTGCAAGTGCACCCACAGTGCTGTTAGGAAGAGTATTCCAGGTTTTCACCCAGTGATAATAAAGTAACTATGATACAGATTCAAGTCAGAATGGTTAGTGGCTTGGAGTTGCACTTGCAGGAGATGATGTTCTCATGCATCTCCTTCCCTTGTCCTTGTTAGAGGTAGAATTTGGAAGATGCTGTCAAAAGAAGCTTGGCAAATTGATGCAGCTCACCTTATACATTGTACCACTGTGCTGGTGGTGGAGGGAGAGAATGTTTTATGTTGTTTGAATCCCACTTCCCCCCAATCAGACAGGGCACTTGGCCCTAGGTAGCACTGAGTTTCATGAGAGTTGTTGGAGTTTCATCCTTCCAGACAAGTAGAGGGTACTCCTTCACAATTCTGGCCATTTAGATGGTGGACAGGTTTTGGAGAATGAGAAGGCAAATTACTCACCATGAAATTTCTAGTCTCTGACCTGTTCTTGTAGGTCCAATATTTGTACGGCTGGTCCATTTCTATATCTGGTCAATGGTAAACTAATGATGTTCATAATGAGGGAATCAGCAATTTTAGTACCATTGAATGTCAAGGAGAGATGCATATATTCCCTGTTGTTGGAATTGGTCAATGACTTGCACTTGTGTGGCAGGAATGTTATGTTTACCTAATGGCCCTAGCTTGGATGTTCTGCAGGTCTTGTTGGATGTGGTATAAACTGCTTCATTATATGACGAGTTGGATAAATTACTAAATGTGAACATAAGAACTTAATAGTAGCAGAAGTAAACCATTCATCTCCTTGAGCTTGCTGTGCCATTCAATAAGATTACAGCTGATTTGATAGTGGCCTCGACTGTACCTTCACTTTGTTGTCAGTCACAAATCTGTTTCACTCCGCCTTTAATGTATGACCCAGCTGTCACTGCTCACCGGAAAGAGAATTTCAAAGACTCAAGAAATTCCTGCTTATCTCAATCTTAAATGCAGGACCAATTCTTTTGAAATTGTTGCACCCTGTTCTAAATTCCCTCACAAAGGGAAACATCTTCTCAGCATCTATCTTAGACACCCCATCAGAATCTTTTATATTTCGACAAGATGAAGTAACATTCTTTTAAAATAATCATTAGTTGGCAACTCATTCACTAGCTTAACATCTACTTCATCCACCTCCAGGGCGTAGCGGCAGCAATGGAGTTGGATCTGTGAAGTTATGAAGGATAGTCATATTGGACTTGACATTATCTGTTTCCCTCTACACAGGCACTGCTAGACCTGCTGTGTTTTTTCAGCACTTTCTGTTTACATTTCTGACCTCTAACATTCACATTAGAGTCATAGAATAATACAGCATGGAAACAGGCCCTTTGGCCCAAACTGGTCCATGCTGATCATGGTGCCCAGTTAGCTAGTTCCAATTACCCAATGGACCAATTTTGTATCTGCCTCTATCACTTTCTTTGGCAGCCCGTTCTGTATGTGCACCACTCTCTGCATGAATAAGTTGCCCCTCAGTTCCTTCTTAAATCTATCCCCTCTCATCTTAAACCTATGCCCTCTAGTTTTCAATTTCCCATCCCTGGGAAAAAGACTATAGGCATTCATCCTGTCTATGGCCGTCATGATTTTATACACATCAATAAAGTCATCCCTCGTTCTGCTATGTTCCAAGGAATAAAGTCCTATCCTGGCCAACATCTCCCTATAACTCAGGCCTACTAGTCCTGGCAACGTCCGCATAAATCTTCTTTGCACACTTTCCAGGTTAACTATGCTTTTCCTATAACAGGGTGACCACAACAGTATACAATACTTCAAGTGCGGCCTCACCAACGACTTATACAACTGTAACATAATGTCCCAACTCCTATACTGAATGCCTTGACTGATGAAGGCCAACATGCTAAATGCCTTCTTCACCACCCTGTCTACCTGTGACACCACTTTCAACGAACTATATACTTGTATTCCTAGGTCCCTCTGTTCCACAACACTCCTCAGGACCTTACCATTTACTGTCTAAGCCCTATCTTGGTTTGACTTCCACGTCACATTTATCTGTATTGAATTGCATTTAACAATCCTCAGCCCACTTCCCCACCTAATTTGATCCCTCTGTAGTTTCCTAACCTTCCTTGCTATCAATGATACCTCCTAATTTGACTTTTATTTTGTGTTGCTTTAAGTTTACTTTATCTGTGAGTAGCAAACTGAACAATGAATATGGGAACCCCAAAACAAAGGCCCAGCACAAGGCTAAATGTCTTTGTCATGTAAGTGAGAATAGATGAGGTACTTCCCCTATGAGGGACCCTGTCACATCATCTCCAATGCCACCAACACTCAGCCACCTTGCAGCTCTGTATAAAAGTGACCATACAGAAGTTCTGATTACATTTCAGCCTCCTAGATTAGAGTTGAGAGGAGACTTGAGACAGGTATTCAAAATCACTGGGGACCTAGACCAAGTAGATAGCTCCCCAGGTACCCCTACACCCAAGAACTGCTGCGGTTCAAGAAGCCAGTTCACTAACACCTTTTCCAGGGCAGTTGGAGATAGGCAGTAAATTCTGGCCGAGCCAGAGATGTCCATATTTCAGCAATGAGTAACCAAACCTTCCCATTGCTGCATGGGCTGAGAACAAGAGGACACGGATTTCAGTTAATTGGCAAAAGAGGCAAAGGTGACATGAGAAGAAGCTTTTGGAATTGGTTAAGGTCTAGAATGTGCTGCTTGATTGTGTGTTGGAAGCAGGTTCAATCGAGGATTCAAGAGGGAATTGGATTGTTCTTCTAAAAGGAAGAATGTGCAGGATGACATGGAAAAGGCAGGGATGTGGCAGTAGTTAAAATTGCTCCTAGAGAGAGCACAGAAATGTTGGGCCTGGCAGCTTCCTCCCTATGTTGTAACAATTCTGTCATTCTTTGACTAAAAGAGTGAGCACAAATCACTGTGGACATCTTTGGTTAAATTTAATGAAATTCCCTTCTAGTACATCCTTGATTGTTTGAGTTCATAACAAGATCACCAGGAAAATTTGGGGAATATGCCTGCGATTTCTCAAAATTCAATCCTGATTGTTGGATGCTGCCTCTGAAGTGTGCATTTTCAAATTTTAAACAACAACGTTTGTTGCAGTTCAGTGATCCAAATGTGATTTGTCATGACTGGAAGCAATTTCCAATGATTAGACCTACCTGTGTTTTGAAATACATTTTTTTTTTAAATTTATGTTCAAATGGTTTGATGTTGTTAGCTGGACTATGTGCCCCAGGACAATGTACTTGAAGTATAAGCAGGCAATATTGACAAAATAGCATAAGCTCTGTGGAAGAAACCAAGCTCAAAGCATGAATTATTATTTTATTTTAAATTTTTAAAGTGAAATTAAATATTTTAATTGTCAGTAAGTCCCTGTTTTAACATGCCCCATGTTGTGTTGTTTTGCTTTAATGTTGGTCAGTTAATAGAGACTATATTTGTGTGTGGTGTTGTTTTAAAATGGTTTTGCGTCATTGGATTGCATGACCTGTTTGGTACTTTGGAATGGTTTCCATAGTTATTTGGAGGTCCGTCATCTCAGCTGCAGGACATCTCTGCAGGAGTTCCTCAGGGTAGTGTCCTTGGCCCAACCATCTTCAGCTGCTTCATCGACGACCTTCCCTCCATCATAAGGTCAGAAGTGGAGATGTTCGCTGATGATTGCGCAATGTTCAGCACCATTCATGACTCCTCAAATACTGAAGCAGTCCATGTTCACATGCAACAAGATCTGAACCATATCCAGGCTTGGGCTGATAAGTGGCAAATAATGTTTGCGCCACACAAATGCCAGGCTTTGAGCATCACCAATAAGAGACAATCTAACCACTGCCCCTTGACATTCAATGGTGTTACCATCACTGAATCCCCCACTGTCAACCTCCCTTGGAGTCATAATTGACCAGAAACTCAACTGGACTCGCCACATTAAAACAATGGCTACAAGAGCAGATACGAATCAAGGATTACTGTGGCGAGTAACTTCTGACTCCCCAAAACCTGTCCACCGTTGACAAGGCGCAAGTCAGGAGTGTGATGGAATACTCCCCACTTGCCTGGATGAGTGCAGCCCCAACAACACTCAAGAAGCTTGATACGATCCAAGACAAAGCAGCCCGCTTGATTGGCACCACATCCACAAGCATCCACTCCCTTCACCACCGATGCTCAGTAGCAGCAGTGTGTACTATCTACAAGATGCACTGCAGTAATTCACCAAGATCCTCAGACAGCACTTTCCAAATCCATGACCACTTCCACCTAGAAGGACAAGGGCAGCAGATACATGGGAACACCATCACCTCCAAGTTCCTCTCCAAGCCACTCACCATCCTTACTTGGAAATATATCGCTGTTCCTTCACTGTCGCTGTGTCAAAATCCTGGAATTCTCTCCTTAAGGGCATTGTGGGTCAACCCACAGCAGGTGAGCTGCAGCGGTTCAAGAAAGCAGCTCACCACCACCTTCTCAAGGGCAACTAGGGATGGGCAATAAAAATACTGGCCAGCAAGCGACACCCACATCCCACAAACAAATAAAATAAAAGTCACCAATCCTTGCTCACGCACACTGTCCCACTGCTGTTCTTAGCCTCCCATTGCTTGCTGACCCTCCCTCTTGCAAACTCTCCAGCTTGCAGTATCTCCCAATCTGTGACCCTCCCAGTCACCCCTGACTCTGTTGCTTGCATCTTTTCCTGTCCCCTGAGTCATACCCGACACACTCTCTCTCACTACTTCTACAGCTTGCAGCCTACCTTCTGTGAATTGAAATTGCTCTCGCTGTCTCGCAGTCTCTCTCTCTCTCCCTGTCCCGCTGTCTCCCGTCTCTCTCTCCCTCTATCTCTCTGACTTTGTCTTCCCTCCCTTCTTTCTTTCTTTCTGTCTTTCTTTCTTTCTGTCTTTCTTTCTTTCTGTCTTTCTTTCTTTCTGTCTTTCTTTCTTTCT